GCCAGGCTGAGGGACAGCCAGGCTGGGTGCCAGGCTGGGTGCCAGCCTCAGGGCTGTGGAATTGAGCTGATCTCCTGCAGTGCCTGTTCTCCCCAGGCAGCCACAGCAGTGACCAGAGCTCTGCTCTGCACGGGGCCTTTGGCCAGTGGCATCTCTAAAAAATCAGCATTCTTGCATTTTCCCTGCCTCTGCTGCCAGCTGGGAATCCTTCTGGAAAGCTCGGGATGGAGAAGCCTTGCGGAAGGGATCTGAGCAGTAACCTGCACTTCAGTGGCAGGCTGATAACCACAGCTCAAGGAATTACAGGCAGTTTTATGGAGAAAAACCTCTTTTATGGCAGGAGACTAAGCCCAAGCTTTCCCTCATTCAAAGAGAAGTTCAGGTGATGATAGGATTATAATTAATAGTTATCTACATAAGGAAGAGCCATTAGAGCATTACTGTTTAATTTAGAAAATTGGGCTGAGTACCAGGCGGGAGTTGGGAGGCAGAGGAAAATTCTATTGTCCTTTTTATAACTCTGTGAGTAATAAACTTCTGGAATGTTTAATCCCAGATAACAGTAGGTTATTATTCCCTTAAATGCATTTAAATCCAGGCTGGGATTTTCAATACAAAGAGAGGTCCAAATGGTGGAAACGTGCAATGCCTTGGGTGGGAAGGGACATTAGGGCTCATCCAGTGCCATCCTTTTAATATTTATTTTAACTTCCCCGAATAACTCATGTTAATCTGATGAAAGTTTAAATGGAGTCCTGATTAAAAAGAAAAGTCCTTATTTTGTGTTTGGCCCGTGTTGGTGGCTCAGGGAGCCCCTGGTGAGTGTGAAAGCCCCGGGGCAGCAGGAGGGTGAAGCAGAAATGTTCTTTCTTGGCTTTTCACCCTCATTCACACCCACCTGCTGTATTTGCAGAGGTTTGGAGCCCTGAGACCCAGCAGAGCTTAGTCAGAAATGTCTCCATAGTTATGGCAAATAGGATCAATAGGCTTATTGATAACATTATTGCATCTATAAATATTAATATATGATTATTTATATACAATATGTACATACATGCAATACAATATATACACACATATGCATATATATGTGTATATATAAAATATTTATTATTTACATTCATAAATATATATGCAAATATTATATATGTGCATATGTATATACATATACATATATAGGTGTCTGTAAATATTGTGTATATACGTAAATATGTATATATAATATATATCTATTATATAGTATATAGTATTTAGTATTTAGTATTTAGTATTTAGTATTTAGTATATATAATATATTATATACCATATATTATATATTATTATATATGATATAAAGATATTATTATTTATATACTATATATACATACAATATTTATACATGTATATACATACATACAATATTATTTATATATATATAATATATTATTATTTACATACCATATATACAAATATATGTATATATACACATAGAATATATATTTTATACAGATATACATATATATACATTAAATATATTATTATGTATATACTTATGGCTTCTTTTTCCTGAAATTGAGGTACCTTTGGTAATTTTTTGCTGCACATATTTTATATATATATATATATTATATATTATATATACTTTATATATATATATATAATATATACTTTATATATATATAATATATACTTTATATATATATATATTTTTTTATATATATATTTATATATATATATATATTTATATATATATATTTAACATAATGATGTTACAGAGTTTAACATTAAACTCTGTAAGCATAGCGATTTTCTATGTTCTATTCTATTTTTAAGGGGTGTTTTTGCTGCTCGTTGGGGCCCCTTTGGAGGGGTGAACACCTTGATTTTCTCTTGGGGCAGTTCCAGGTTCGGTGTCACTGCGGAGCCTCAGGCAGGGAGGAGTCACACTCGGAGCAGGAGCAGAGCGGCCCAGCAAGGGTTAACCCGGGCTGCTCTGTGCCACGGGGACAGTGTGGCACTGGCACTTCTGGGATTTGGGATTCTGTCCCCCCGCTCCCTTGGGAAGGTCTCCATGGGATGTGGAGCGTGGCACGGGGATTTGCAGAACTTTAAAACTTGACATCAGGTTCATGGAGTGTATACAGATACATAATCCATTTCTTTGTAGATGTGTTTGTGTGTAAACTCTGAGATAGGAAATGTTGATTTAGGAACGCTGTGGAATAGGAGAGGTGTTGCTGGGAGAGAAATGGAAACAGAAGTTTCAACAAAAGTTTGACAAATAAGAGAGATACTTTGGAGAAACAGAACTTTGGAAGATGTGTCAGCACCCACGAGGGGTAACTTTAGATGATTGGCTTTAAGGTATTTGTAGTGTGGTTTGCTAAAAGCTGCTAAGTGAACAGATGCCTTCGAGACATGAGACTGAACGGAATGAGAAATGGGACTGAAAATGGAATAAAAGAGGCCCCTGGCCATGGGCTGTGCCAGCTCTGGGGGCAGCAGGGCCAGGGCAGTGCCCGTCCCCTGGGAAGGGAATGGAGCCCCAGGAGGGGCTGGGGAGCTGGGAAGGGAATGGAGAGTTCCTGAGGGAGCTGGGAAGGGGCTGGAGAGTTCCTGAGGAGCTGGGAAGGGGCTGGAGAGTTCCTGAGGAGCTGGGAAGGGAATGGAGAGTTCCTGAGGAGCTGGGAAGGGGCTGGAGAGTTCCTGAGGGAGCTGGGAAGGGGCTGGAGAGGTCCTGAGGGAGCTGGGAAGGG